TAGTTCATGGTGACCACGATTACGTTTCCGTAGGCAGCGAGGACGCTACCGTCAAACATGTTCCCTGAGCCCTCCATGTAGGAGCCTCCGTGGATGAACAGCATCACCGGCTTCTTACGACGATCCCGAATATCTGCAAAAGAAAGGTTAGCAAAAGGTGGAAGTTAGTTCATTTTTTCTGGGGGGGGTAAATTTCCTCATCACAAACTCATTTTTGAGAGTTCAGCTTGTGTGTTCGAAGGCAACAGGTTGTCTAGCTATTTTCAACTGGCAGCTCTAGATGTATGACTGCAGCAGAGAAAGCCTCCATGTGCAGCGTTTTCTACCCTCCAACCACAAAAAAAGAAGAAGATTAAAATACAAAGGATGGAACATTTCTAGCCGACTAGTAGTTTCATGTCGTCCCACTGGGCCTATCCTGTATATTTTACCCTGTGATGTGTGCTTCCCCTGTCCTGTGCAGCGGTGATGGTACCTTCCCAAACTGCTGCTATTCCCCTCCATGCGTGGAGCAAATGGTGCAGGCAAGTTCTGATGCCCTCTCTGTTATTGGTGTCTTTGTGCCCATCAGTGTGTTGCTATGGTTCACTCTGTCAGCCCGTGTGCCCCCCTCCTCCATCCCCAACAACCCTCCTCCTCCCCCTCCTCTCGCGGCGTCTGTGGTATGGTCGGAGTGTCTGAGCGTGGATAAGGCTGAGAGAGCTGCCAGTGAAGCCCAGTTAGGCTGAGCGTCTGCACTGTGCAAGGCCTGTGGATAATTTGTATGAAAGCCAGACCAAGTGGAAACATAAATAACAGCCACAGCATCTGTTTACCCTGATGAGCTTCAGCACTCAGAGATGGGGGAGACAGGGAGATAAGAGGAGAGGAAGAGAGAGAGAGAGAGATGGCGGGGCAAGGCAGGGAGAGAGAGAGAGAGAGAGGAAGGAGATGAAAATAGGGCAGCATGAGAAGAAATGACGGCGGAGAGAAATGGATGGGAGGTTCACATCACCAAAAAAAAAACATGATGGCAAGGATGAAAAAAATATGAAACGTTACAAAGCAAGTCATACATAGCGAGGTACACTAATGAACACTCAAATTCACACAGGATTCACGCCGTATTCATACAGAGAGGCGCACGCACACACACACACGCTCGCTCGCTCACACACACACACAAACTCTTGCATAGGCAGCTGCGATGTTGAGTCGCTATGGAAACTGCTTCTCGCTAATAGAACTGCACCAGCCATTCCATTGCACCGACTCACTGAATGTCTGTTGCCGTGGTAACAAATTCTACTCACGTATTTGCACACCCGCCTGCATCACCACCTGAATCTCAGGTTACACATGCACTTGGGTGCGTCACTCACAGTCGCACACACGCGCACACACACACACACACACAGACGAGTGTGGCAAAATGGCACATATGGCTTCACACATGCACACAATCTTTCATGGATCATACGTAAGACACGAGCTTAAAATAAAATAAAAAAAAAAAAACATTCAGTCGCACACTCTGACGTGCTGCTCTTTTTTTTTTTCTTCTCCTCCTCTCTCTTCTCTGGTGTATTCTGAACCTCGGCTGATTTCCCAGAGGATATGTAAATAAGTTCAGTTATCTTGGCATTACCAGGACAGTATAGAGGAATGACGTATCAGCAGGCTGTCATCAAGCGCTCGCACAGCAGCGCTCACACCGTAAATTAAATCCTCAGAGAGGGGGGAACCTAAGCAGTGACATGTATCTACATTTTAAAGGCCCAATCGGCCTTTTTCTTCACATTGTTGCACCTCTCTTAATCCTGTGTTTACAGACTTTAATGGAACCAGAGGAGGTTGTTGTCGTCGTTGAATACTTAATGTTACATTCTGTGTCATGCTAGTAGCAGCTAACGTAGCCTCGAGCTGCTAGCCTCGAGCAGAGGTGAGGATCGGGCTGCAGGGGTCTGGCAGGCTCACTTGTTTGTAACGTCGCAATCCAAGATGTCTTCATGTTCAAACTTGTAGTCTTCAGCCACAACTGACTAATTTCAAAAGGATGTGAAAAGCTTGACATATGCAGTAGTTCTCCCAACACCTGCAAGTCGACTCTGATGAGTAAAATCAAGGCAGCTTTGTGTTCAGTAGGTGTTCAGTTGGGTTTTCCTCTTTGTTGTATGTAAAATGCTATACAGATGATACTGAGTTGAGTAGTGACAGGAAAGTTTCCAAGAGGTGATGAGGAAGTTTATTCATTTACACCTGGGTCACAAAAAGTTGCCTATCTGTGATGGTGCTGGGAACCGACTGTGGAACCTTCAGCAGTGTGGATTCGCTCCCCCGCCGTGGAGCGGCAAGCCGGCTCTTGTGAGGAAGCCTGTAGGGGATACTGCAGGAGTATGCGCTACTAAGGCCGCTGCTACAAGCCATCTGATCCTTGTACAACCAACGTAAGAGCTGCGTTCGTATCCATAGCACAAAGTTTTTCCCTTTTTTTCCCCCAGTCTTGCTTGTGATATTTACAGACAGGAATCTCAAGGTGCTCCTGAGGTGAGGAGGGTGTCCCGATTTGGGAACCACTGCATCTCGCAAGTGACGTGGTTCTGTTGGTTTCATCAGACCTTCTGGTTGTTTTCTACTGAGCCTGAAGCATCCAGGATGAGAGTCTGATGCTGTGGTTCTTGGAAATGTGCTGCCTCAAGGAGTTTAAGTATCTCAGGTGTTCTTTCACGATTGACAGAAAAATGGAGCCTGAGATGGACAGACAGACTAATACAGCGTAAGAAGTAATGTGCAGGTTGTATCTAACCGTCGAGGTGAAGAGGAAGTTCATATATGATGAAAGAAACTGATCTCAATGAGCTAAGGTCATGAACTCTGGGTAGTGACCAGATCAGAGACGTAAGCGGCCAAAATGAGCCATCCTCTGGGCGAAGTCTGAGGGAAATGGAGGCACTCGGACATTTGGAGGGAGCTCGGAGCAGAGACGCTGCTCCTGTCCGTTGAACGGAGCCAGCTGAGGTGGTTCAGGCATCTGATTAGGATGCCTCCTGGGCGAATGCCTTTGGGGGTTTTCTGGACACGTCCAGCTGGAGGGAGACCCTCACTGAAAGAAATTACATATCTCGTGTCCCATGGAAATGCCTCGGATCCCCCAGGAGGAGCTGGAAAAGGGCGCTGAGGAGAGGCGACGTCCAGAATGACCTGCCTGGCTGTCACAACATCCTGACCACAGATAAATGGAAGAAAATGGATGGATGGATGGATGGATGGATGGATGGATGGATGGATGGATGGATGGATGGATGGATGGATAATGTACCAGGGAACCCACTTTTTAAACGAGACTCTGTTCTCCTTGCCTGGACCTGGAATTGAACACCTAACACATTAAAGCTGAAGTAGGCAGTAGTTATTGGGCGTCATCTAAATCTAGCCAGTGATGGTAAGTTTTAGCCAATAACAGGGCTGTCCACTGATCACATGAGATGGTATGAATAATGAGAACAGAGAACGTGGTGGTGCAGTGGGGCAGGCCGACTACTTTCATTGGGAGCGCATGATTTTAATGTTAAGTCGTGCAGGTTGCGGGGTGGGGTCTCCATGGATTGGGCTTGTTCTAGTGCATCCCGTGGATGCTGGATCAGATTTGGATGGAGGGAGGCTGCTGGCGTTGAGTGCCATTGCCCTGGGGGAGGTGTGTTTGGTTTGGACCAATGTTTAGGCAGGTGGTACATGTCAAAGCAACATCCACATGAGTGCCAGGAGTTGAGGATTCCAGCCCAACACTGCACTGCAACGAGACGAGCAAGGCTATTCACGTCACCTCTTTTACGTTAAGGCGGGTTGGTTTATTTCACTGCTGAAGATCTCTGTTATTAGTTTCTCCTGACCTGCTACTGCTGTAGTGGACAGCTGAAGGTAAATATGGTCAGGTTGCACTTTTAACTGAGACAGATGAACAGTTTTTAGGGTTTTAGCTCAAGTGGCAGCAACCTGTTCATGCTCTGATGTTGTTTTACTTTTGAGAACACAAACGGTTCATTACGTAAATTCTCAGTGTTACAGTGCATCAAGATAATCACTGCATAAAGTGTGTAACAATAAAACTGAACAAAACCTGATCTTTGACTCCAAAACTCTTTTATTCAGTGTCTTAAATTGTCCTATTAAGGTAGAGTGAAACAAGTTTTTAATTCCAAACCACTAAAACATATATTTAAAGAAGTTAAATCTAAAATATTTTCTAGGCTTAATAAAGTTAAGACGTAAGGAAAAAAAAATCTAATGATTTTTGAATGAAAGATAAAAAGCTCATGCATACCTACAAAGCCGTAATGACACGGATGGATAGAGGAAGAAAAAAAAAAACTTCTTATCTTTTATTCTAACAACATTTTGAGACGTTTTCATTAGGTAAGGCTAAAAATAACGTTTGTCTAGTTAATACCGTTTTTTTGTAAAAGCTGGACACATGCACGGTGCAAAGAAGTGCCAGCAAGGTAACCAACAGAAGCTATGACAGAAGATTCACTCTTGTGCAAAAATGTTAAATAAAAAAAAAGGTAGAACAGTTGGATGCATGTTGAAATGAGGGAAATGGTCCAATGAGTGAAAGGGTTGAGGTGATGAGGGGGTGCAGGGCGTTCCACTCAGCCCAAATCCAACATGGCCAACAAGGAGCTCACTGTCTTTCCCGCCTGCCTCCAAAACACTGGCACATTATTCACTCCTCTCTTTGCCACCTAACCTGATACTATCCTCCTCAACATCCACCTCCCTAATGCCCACCCATTCTCAAAGTAATGTCTTACCTCCCAACAGAAACTGCCTACTTTCTCCTTTTCCGTTCCTCGGCTCCTCTCTCATTCATTCTCTTATGGTAATCTCGATTGATTTGGGCGTTAAAGTTTCCAGCCTGACTCAGCACTTGAACATTTTTTTTTTTTTTTTTTTGCACCCACACCCAAGCAATGCAGTTTCTTACAAACAATCGTCAAAAATAAATAAATAAATAAAATAAGCTGCTGGTACTACTACTACTTTACAACAATGTTAAGGAACCTGTGTCCAAATCCATACCTGAGCAATTAAAGTGAGGAATTCAGCCATAACCCAGCCCTCCTGATCCTGTCAAGATCCATCAGGTGTCGGCATAAATGTCAAGCTCTACCAGTCTCCTACTCATCCACCCTCTCCCTCTTTCTTTCTTCACATCTCTCTCACTTTGGAAGCTGTATAAATGTCATTTCATCATGCACTTGTCTTCATTATGACTATTTTTTCCCCTCCGCTCCCTCCTCTCGTTGCCCTCCCCGGCGCTCTCGCAGTGCTTAGCTTTTCCTTTTCTTTCATCTCTATTCTATCATTCTGCTCCTCTCCTCTACAATCCTGCATGAATCCTTCCTTCTGTTTTCACCGTTAAGAAACCACACAATTGGATTAGCTACATCTGTCTCTTTTTAAACCATAGCAATTAGAGATGCAAGGGAGAGAGAGAGAATTCAATACCCAAATAGCACGGAGCCCAAAATACTGAAAAAAAAAAGAAAGAAAAAAAGAAAACACACACACACACACACACGTATTGGCACAAATTAGAGCACATGCATGCATGTGTAGGTTTGCACATGCGCTCAAGCAAACACACATGCACAAATGGAAACTCTGCCGTATGGGTGCGCAGCGCTATGTAATATACAGTACGTTTGGGCACGTGTACAGAAACAGATGCACATGCTGTCTGCACGGATTTTGGCTGCACCAGTAAAGAGCGGTGAGAGCATCTCCCTTCGGCTGCAGCGAACTTGAAAATGTACAGCAATAGCAGAAATGTGCAGAAATACCGTTCGCTTTTTTTTCCTACTTTAAAAAAATGAAGGATTGGGCGAAGCTCAATAACATAATGAAGAGCAATAATTTAGCAGAGCGTTTTATAAGAACTTTAGTGCCGGAATAAAAGCGCAGGTGACAGAATATTGATTTTCAGTGATGCATCTCGCAGGATGGCCAGAACATCAGCGTGTGGTTGATCAACCACATAGCAAGCCGAGAAAGGAAAATAAATTAGCTCCCCGTGCAAAAAGGAGCATACGTGACAGAAGGGTGGGGAGAAATGCAGAATTTTGTGCGTAGCTTTTATTTAGATAAATGCATGCATATAGGAAGGGATGACAGATGCGAATAAAAGGAGGTAACAATAGACAGTGTGATGTGCACATTAGAGCGATGACGCTAACATGGTTATTAATATAGATGCAAACACCACATTCCCCACGGAGCTTGAAAAATGGAGCACGAGGAAAAAAAAAAAAAAACATGCAATTAAAATACCTTCATCCCTGGGTCTGTTCATTGTAGACTCATCATGTTTTTTTGTGAGCGGACCTGAGGTTGAGAGAAAGGAGGGGAGGGGAGAGACAAAAGAGAAAAAATTTCAAAAAGATTGCATTTGCAGAAAAACAAAACAGCAAAACAAGAGAGGATTAAAAGAGAGAAATAGCCAAACTGTAAGACGTTCTGCTCTGTTTCACTTCAGTGGCTGTGTACAAGGATTACACACTGTTCCCCACAAAGATAACCTCAAACTCATCTGTTTCAACTGCTTAAGATCTAGTCACGGACTGCCTCGTAAATGACCCCAGAGGCCACTTCTCCTCAACCCTTCTCCCAATCAGTCCTGACACACTGCTGCTTTGTAAAGAAAAATCAATGAGCAGAATCAAGCCATCACTCTTTTTCGCTCAGAAAAAGCAACGGAATGCCAAGATACTGCGTGTCCCGCTCCGGCTCAGGACAGCGTTGCAGTCGGCTGATAAAAGTCAACACATTGCGCCGGAGAAAGGCGCACAGGCATGTCGGCACAGGCCCTGAATACATGTGAACCCACGGCTTCTCCATTTAACAGCTATCATCGTCATTTCGACTAGTCGCAATTAAGCTGTGACTAATGAGAATCTCCATTTCAGATATCTATAGCTTAATTCCGATGAGTCAAAACGACAGCTAGAGACTAATCATAGTAATAGCTGCAGATATCTCAAACATCATTATGACTAGTCTAAGTCGCTGTGCCAGACCCAGACTTCCCATTGGATACCGGTCCGGCGAAGAATTTGAGCAGGACGAGCAGAAGTAATGGCGGTTGCTGTGGTGGATAATGTCCCTGGGAAATTCCACGAAGCAGAAATAGCTCATCAGTAAGGAATTTGTGGCTAACGAGAGTTTGGTTCGTTTGAGACTTGTGGTCAAAATTTACTAGAAACTACGGCCTCGGGCCGCTCCGACGTGGCCGCAAAAAAGGCTCGTCATAGGTGGTTCTGAAAAGCAAAGCTGCCTCCGCCTGTTGTTTGCCTTCTGATGTATCAGCCACATCATTTCTCGAAGTGACAACTCTTAGATATCTGTAATTACATCGTGACCGGGAAAATTCACATTCAACTTCATTGTGACGAGTTCAAACCTAATTTAAAATATCTAATCCTGAATTAGGGGCAATTAAAGACATCTTAAACTCAAATTACGACCAGTCAAGATAAATGTCTGAAACTGGAATCACAACTAGTCAGAATTTAGCTTAAATAATTGCAGACATCTCCCACTGAGTTGTAGATATCTGTTATGAGAAAGCCCATGAAAGGTAAAGGTGACATCATGTTTACTAGGAAGAATGATGACGTGGATATCAAACATTTTCTTCCAGCCTAGCTACTAAATCGCCACAGTAACCATGTAATGTTACGAGAAACGCGAGCCTGAAACCTAAAACGTGGGTCTCTCCTACCAAATTAGCGAAGAGGGAGCTGTTTTTGATATTTACGCCGCCTGCGAAGGCTTGTGACAGGATTCCCCTCATCAAGGTCAAAGAGGAGCCCCGCATTAAGCTTTAATGGTAACGCCAGTTAAATGCTCCATAGGGCAGAGCCAATAACAAGCATTTATCACAGTGACCAACCAATGCCCTGGCGTGTCAACCTCTGTAAGTCTTAACTGATAAGGCTCCCATTAATTTGTTTTTTTCTTGGTTTCTGTCAGTGGAGCTTTCCATCAGCAAACAATTACCACCGCGTTCGGTGTCGTTCTCCGCCGCCGTCCGCAAGTCATTAAACACCGTCACAAACCTGCAGCCCCTACACGCACCCACATACCGAGTCCACATGTCACACAAAGCCCGTTAAATGTGTCCTTATCATCTGTTGCTGTCCTCCTCGTACCCACCCAGCAGCACATTCCCTGCTCTCCATCGGGGGAGGCGTTGCAGTCTCTCATTTTATAAAATACTCTATGTTGCGTTGCCAAGGGGTTTATCACTCTGCCAATGTGCTGCTGACATGTCTGTTTCTACCCTTCTGCTGGAAAACCTCACACTGAAGCGATGGCATATACCCTTTTCACAGCGCTTTGCATCCACCGACAAAGGAAACACACAGCATTACTGCACTCCACCATTATAATGCTGCATTTCCACCCATCCATCTGTGTGAATATGGCTCCCTCGTATAAAATGTTTATCTTCCGTCTAAATGGGAGAGGATCAATGCTGAATGGATTTGCTGCATCATCCGAGCACCACCATGCAGGCGCCTGATCCGGAGAGCACTTAGTGCCATAGCGGGAGATGGTATAGCCACCGGTCCTGGGCTACAGAGCAGACAGGTAGACAAACCGGTAATGGATAGAAAGGTGCATTAGTCCTCTGTCTTGTCAGCACTTCCTCGCTACTTAGCACCACTCTAAAACCACACCTTGCCGCTTAATGGAGACTACTCCGATTTCAATTTAGTTCCTGATATCTAATAAAGAGCTAAACTATACGTGAGAATAAGCAACGCTCAAACAGTCGCACTTTGTAACGGAGCATCAGACGTCACCACAAGAGTTCACACGTGGAGCTAAGAAAATAATAAAAATGACACAAAATATGGACTTTTTTTGTACTGTGCAGTGGTAGAAGAAGTATTCAGATTATTTACTCGAGTAACAGCACCAATTCATCAAGGTAAAAATACTCGATTACAAGCAAAACGTCTTACTTCAGTAAAAGTACATGAGTATAATCTCCACATGTAGTTGGAGTCATAAAGTCCTGGTTTGGTCCCTCTGACTGATGTGTTATTGTACATGACAGCCTTTAGATTATTAATCGTGAAGCACCAGGGTGTCAGCAGCGTGTTACTGCTGTAGCTGTGGAGGTTTGAACTGCGTTATATTCAGATAGTTTTAAATGCAAAGACAGCAGATACCTCTGAGGGCTTGTTGCATATTTAATGGGACAGAAAAGAAGAAAAAACAAAATGATGATAAAAAAAGAAAAAAAAATCTATTTCTTAGGGTTTGGACTTTTCTCTGATCTTTGATTTTTTTGGTGACATATTGGATGATGTGAAGATGTATGAAAATCAAACATGTGAGAAGTAGTTGAGCTGTGAACAGCTCATAGACAACTGAAACGTGACCTTGACTACACGCTGCATTTTGTAAGACATCCGAATCCATAAAGGTTGGAAACCACTGGTTAAATATTTAACAATGTGTTGTATTTCAAAAGCTTG